TCAAAAAATTAAAAATAAAACTACCCTATGACCCAGCAATAGCAATACTAGGAATTTACCCAAGGAATACAGGAGTGCTGATGCATAGGGACACAGGTACCCCAATGTTTATAGCAGTGCTTTCAACAATAGCCAAATTATGGAAAAAGCGTAAATGTCCATCAACTGATGAATAGATAAAGATGTGGTTTATATACACAATGGAATACTACTTGGCAATGAGAAAGAATTAAATCCTGCCATTTGCAGCAACATGGATGGAACGGGAGAGTATTATGCTAAGTAAAATAAGTCAGTGTATCTTGAGAAACTTAACAGAAGACCATGGGGGAAGGGAAGGGGGGAACCAAGTTACAAACAGAGAGGGAGGAAAGCAAACCACACGGGACTCTTAAATACAGAGAGCAAACTGAGGGTTGATGGGGGGTGGGGAAGAGGAGAAAGTAGGTGATGGGCATTGAGGAGGGCACTTGTTGGGATAAGCACTGGGTGTTGTATGGAAGCCAATTTAACAATAAATTATATTTTTAAAAAAAGAAAAACTAAATAGTAAACATGATTCTTAGGCCCTGCAAATTAAAAATAAAAAAAAATGTTCTTTTAACTCAAAAGGGTGCTTTATTTTTTCACATTTTGAAGCTAGAACTACTGTGTAAGATTTAAAATGTGACATATTTATTAATAAATAATCTCCTTCACTTTATCCCTGTTGTTATTAAATGGATATACCAAGGTGAGATGATAATAATATTCTCCCCCACTGTTTCACTGCCTATAGTAGAATAGAAACTATGTTAGTCACCGGCAAAATCAACTGAAGTAGATCTTCCAAAAATGTCTCCCTTCCTATAGCAATTCCTTATACCTCTGCAAAAAACTACTTCAGTTGGTCTGTAATTTCCAGTGACAGAAATTTCTTTGTTTCATATTTATAGTTCCAGTTGATTCCCAATAACAAGAAGCACTAGAAAAATTAGTAGAAACATATAAGAATGGTTCCTAAAAAATAAAAGTCAATGTTATTGATGACCACTTTGTGTAAAACACTTCACATCAAGATTTCGCCTGACTCTGAGATAGCAGTGAAGTAGAATAGTATTTCCATCTAGAAGATGCAGAAACTGAGGCACAGAGAATTTATGAAGCCAACCCAAAGACCCTTAACTGATGGCAGGGGTCTCACACTTCCAGACAATCTCATGCCACTGCACGAGATTATACTCTACTCCTTTCTCCTCTTATAAGTGATCCATATATACCTTGGAAAAAACAGGCAAGGAGAAAATGATGTTTCCAAGCAGATAAAAAATGGTCGTATTTAGTATTTACTGTTAAGTATAGAATTTAACTACCAGAAAAACGAAGAAGGACACAGTACAACAACCATGGCCGTGGAACGGTGCTCATCTCTTTGCTAGATCGGAGGTATACCAAATGACCCAACAGCTCTGCAGCTTCAGGCTGGGAAGTACAAGAGAGGTGGGCATAAAGAGTGAAGGACGATTCGGCGGAGGGACATCTAAAGGTCTGGGTTTTTTTGTTTTTAATTTTTTTTTTTTTTTTTTACGTTTATTTTTGAGAGAGACAGGGCATGAGCAGGGTAGGGGCAGAGAGCGAGGGGGAGACACGGAATCCGAAGAAGGCTCCAGGCTCTGTGTTGTCAGCACAAAGCTCGACTCGGGGCTCAAACTCGTATGACCTGAGCTGAAGTATGGCTCGTATGACTCACATGACCTGAGCTGAAGTAGGATGCTCAACTGACTGAGCCACCCAGGTGCCTCTGAAAGTCTATCTTGAATGAACTAGCTCTCCTATTTCTGAATCCCAATTAATGGCATATCTCTTCTTTGAGTTTAATCCTTTATTTTCCTTGACTTAGAAAGGTGTCTGACAGGTCTGGAACTATTTTTAAAAGCATCAAAAAACTACAGGGGCGCCTGGGTGGCGCAGTCGGT